TTCCCGTCTTTATGAGCTGACGTTTCCTGCTGAGGCTCCCCAGAGAGGTTCTTATGCTCCTGGCCTGGGGCTCTGCTAGTGGCTTAGGACAGAAGTTTGGGTCTACGGACAAGGGTCACTGAAATGTCCCCAGAGTGGGCCCCACTGGGTTAGACCTTAGGGCAGTGGATCCCCAAGAGGCAAGATAGTAGATCCCAGATTTAGCTTGAAAAATGTCAACACTCTTTCCCCTGCCACATATACGCACGTGCATATGCGTGCACACCGGACAGAATGTGAGGCCCCCCGAGGGGCCATAGATACGCTCAGCTCTCCTCCTATGTGCATCTGATGCGACCCAGCACAGAGGGCCTAGTGAAGGATGGCCGGTGTGGCGTCTGTTATACTACAAGCCCAAGCCAAGTAACAGTGTGAAATGCTTTGGTCTGGTCCCTTGCAGCCCAACTAATGAAAAGTCGCCCAGTGTAGCCTCCTGCCTTAGTAAGCAGGATACACTCAACAGACCCACCACATCCTTTGATGATCAAGACCAGGCAGAGTCTCAGTGTTTGCAAACACCTCATTTTGTCCATGCCCTGGAGGCATAACCAACTCCAGCCGGAGCCCATGTGGGCCCTGGGGGTCATGTCACAGCAGAGAAGGAAGGATCCTTTACACACACGTAGCCAGCATATTCCAAACACAGGACCATGCTTCTCATTCAAAAATAAGTTGATTATATCCCGTTTTTCTTGAGACATTCAGTTTTCATCGCCCCACTTTGCTTTTCCCACTTTCAAGAGAGATGGGAGTTCAGGTAATATTTTGCTAGTCTCTTTGTGAGGAAAGGGAGAGAAGTCAGCAGCTTGGTTGAGGCCCACAGGATTCCACCGCTAGAGTATCAACAGCCTGTATTTATCCAGCACTTTCTATGTGTCAGGTACGGTGCTGAAGCCCTGGATATTCAATATTTCATTGATACTTCCTAACGTTCCTGTGAAATAGGTACTAACTAGGTCCCCTTCTCAGGTGTACAAACTGGGGTGCAGAATGCCGTGCACCTTGTCCCCACAGCCAGGGTGATGGCTCAGAATCTGCGACCAGGCTCTCAGTGTCCAGGGCCTACAAGGCTGGGGGCCAGTCGAGATCAGTGAGTCCTTATGGCTAGAGAGGGGAAGAGTCTGGCTCCCCAGTTCGAGCTGGGCAGGGGGACACACAGAGGTAGGGTAGAATCTGTAACAGCCCAGAGGAGCCACGTTGGGTGGGTTCTGCCCTTGGAAAGCCCCTCTGTTTTCAGAGCCTCTTAGAAACTTCTGATGGGCACTCCTGCCCCTTTGAGGAGGCTTCTAAGTTTGCTCATCCTTCTCGGGATGGGAGTAGTGGTTCTGGAAGCTACAGATGGAGCGGCAGATGGGAAGTGAAAGCCTATCAGAGTTGCCCAGGATAAAACCATTCATCTGCAAAATTCATATGCTTTTGCGTGGGGCGACTTCACAGAAACAAAAGCAGGAGGAACCAGCAGGGCTTGAGGCGTGAAGTGCCTCTGGCCATGAGGCTGGCAGAGTGAAGCGGGCAGAAGAATGGGGGGAGCACAGGAATGACGGCAGCGGGGGCAGAGGGAGGGAAGGACAGACAGACCGAGGCACAGAAGGGACCTGGAGCACTGAAGCTAAGAAAGCAAAAAATTCCAGAACTCTCTTCTCCGAAACCCAAAATCGGTTTGGCACGTGGTCTAGCAAAGGATTCCCGGGCCCCTCGGACATACAGGAGTTTCAGCCTTGGATGCCGCTCAGGAACGAACACTTGACATTTACTGAGTACTTGGTAAGTGCCCGACCCTCTGCTAGGTTCTGTGATCGGATCCTGGTTTCACAAAGAATGAATTTCCTCGCAGATGGTCATATGGCTAGTGAGGTGGCAGAACTCAGACTCGAACCCTAAGCCATCTGCTGGGCCTCTCATTACCCACCCTCCTGGAGGCTGTAATGCTAGAGATCCCAATACCCTGGCCCGGCTGAGCTGGTTGAGGCCATGGTTGTGGCAAGTCAACAAAGGGCCCCTAGGGGGCAGCCTCGTGAGCACAGGAATGCCCACCTGACCTCCAGAGGTCTCTGGCCAAGTACCACCCCTTGACCTAGGATGAGGGGACCTCCGGGGTCTCCACCAGGGGTCTACAGGATGAATGAGCAGACTTGGGACCACAGGTGACCTTCCTACCTCCAAGGACCTTCCAGGCTGCCAAGTGGTCCCATGTGAGGGGCGGGACTGGCTCCCGCAAGGTGCTCTCTACGTACCCTGGGGCCATCTTGCCACTCCAGTTCTGGCTAACTTCCCCAAGGGCCAACTTCAAGCAGAAAGAACACCAGCCTTGGAACAGCAGAGAACTGGTTCTCATGTCCACTCTGCCGTGTATTTCTTACATGAACTTGGGTCCCGGGTTGCCCTTCTATAAAACAAGTTTGCTTTGAGGGTTGAACGAAGTGGCTGCCTTATTAGCTGTTATGCTCAACATTTGGGGATGTTTTTGAACTCAGTCCTTTCCTGGAAGACAGAGGGGGAACATCTTCACTTGCTTCTCTCCACTTGCCTCTCCTCATTCTTTTACTATACTCCCTCCATTTTTAAATTTCTCAAATGCAGCAAGGTCATCTCTGACCCATGTCTTGTCCAGACTGTTCTCTCCCTCAGGAAAGGTTTTCAACCAGAAGTAATTCTGCCCCTTGGGGACACTGGGCAATGTCTGGGGCTATCTGTGGTTGTCCCGAGTTGGGGTTCAGCATAAGCAGATCTAGTGGACCGAGGCCAGGGGCTGCTTCTACACATCCTGCCACACCCGGGATAGTCCCCACAACAAAGACTCATCCAGGCTAGTAATGTCAGGAGCATCCGGCGGGGGGGGGAATTTCTAGTCGAGAAGGAGCTCTTTCTCATCTGCCTGACAATCGCTTCTTAGCCTTCAGTTCTCAAGTCCAAACTTGGCACATTCAGAGGCCTTTCTGACTGCCTGACCCTGTCCCCCCCCACCCACCACCCCCTCATTTTCTAGCTCTTTCACTCTTCACATGGTGCCTTTAATTCCATTCTCCCAGCTAGGGGACATGCACCATCAGGTAAGGCTTGGGGCGCATTTGCTCACTAAATGCCCAGACAGGACCGAGCACAGGAGTCGCTGACCACATGTTTATGGAATGGGCCCCTGAACAAGTGAATGAGTAAGTAAGTAAGTTAAGATCTGCCAGCCATGTTTCATAATCTGCTTACCCTTGCTCTCCTCTGAACAAAAGAAAAACAGGGATCTTTCTAACAACTATCATCTTTCTCAGGTTCAAGAGTGCCAGGTGGACCCTGCCGAAACTGACCCAACTGTGCCATCCCCAGGTCCTCTCCAGGGCCCAGGGCTTCCCAGCAGACAATGAGACGCCACCAAGCCAAGGAGGGTACCAGGATTCTTGTGCGCCAAGGCACCAGAATCGCACTGTGAAGGAGACAGAGATTGTTTCTAGCTTTAAACAGGGAATATTCCTCTCTGCCTGGATTTTATTTGGTTCAACCCCCAACTCCTGGGGATGTGAGGCCTCAATATTTGATGGCACAAAGAACGACGGTCAGTATTTTAAGTGTGACAGTCACGTGGATGTTAGCTTAAAAGGGATGCACACTAAAACTCTTACAGATACGACATGGTGTCTGGGAAGCACTTTGATGGGGAAGCAGGGGAGGGTACAGCTCTATCGGCACTGGCTACGACCTGATTCGAGCTGAAACTAGGTGATGTGTACGTGGGGGTTCATTAGACTGTGGTTGGCATTGCAGTGCCTGCTTGGAAACTGCCCTGATTTAAAAAAAAAAAAAAAAAAAATTTTTTTTTTAAGATGCCTTCATCTGGCTCTTGCAGGAATGTTGTCCCCACCCCCTGCCCTCATGCCATCAGAGGAAGGAAGGCCCCGCCCTTTGCTCCCCATCCTCTTCTCCTTTTTAGCCCCACCAATAAATCAGGATGGAAGACACAGTCAAGCAAAAAGTGGCCTTCTGGCAGGAAATAAAGCTCATTTTCTTGCTTTTTTTTTTTTTTTTAAAACCTCATGACATCTTTAGAGGGGTTTCCTCTGCTTATGGCCGATTTTCAAGAGCAGATCAGTGTTTGTGCAAAGGGACAGACCTTCCTGGTGGCATCGGAGTTTCTTAGGGCCTTGGGGCTGCCGGCTGCTGGGGAAGCTCCACACAATTGTGGCCAAGGGCCCACAGGTGCACCCGGGGCTGGTGTTGGAGAGCAGTTCCCCATTTTATAGTTTCACATGAAACCTCCCAATCTTAAAACGTGGGCAAGCCTTTCAGTTGTGACAAGTTGGTAGCCACCAAACACGCACACACAGAGTGAGCCTCAAACAGCCCAAACGTGCGTGTCCGTGACTGCTGCGCCATCACAACAGACCTGCCTTCCTCCTCTCTGCTCCCCTTTTCGACACCAGAGTCAGACCCGGTCCTGCCCCGAATCAAACACGCCCGCGGCACCCACATTCTAGAAGCAACCTGATCCTGCCCCAGGATTCTCTCTAACCTCCTACTACTCCATCTGTCACCTGCTCTGTTCCAGCCACCCTGAGCCCCCTTGCTCCCCCAGCACAGCAAGCACAACCCCAACCTCAGGACCCCACAGCTGCTGTTCCCTCGGCCTAGGCCACGCTCCCGGTCCCAGACACTCGCTCCTCCTCCTCCTGTTCTTCTCGGGAAGGACTCACCCAGCCGCTCCTGCTAAAATTGTTAACTCTCCCTGCTGGTTTGTTCTGCTTTATTTTTCTCGTGTGCCATTTTACTAATTTTGTTTGTTTTCCCCCCATGCCAACTTGAATGGAAACTCCAGCTGGGTAGGGGTCTTTCTGGCTCCTGCGTGTACCCGTGAACGCAGCTGGGTCCGACTCGGATCCCAGGCAGAAGGAGCTCACAGGCCAGGCCTCTGCGGTGTGTCACTGGGGCACAAAGCACCCGCGCCCCGGCCTCCAGCGAGAGCAAGGCCACCTCACCTGATGGGGTAGTCGGCGGCGCTCAGGTTGATGAAGAAGTCCCAGGGCCAGTCGGTCATCTCCAGGAGGTCCCGCATGCTCTGCAGGTACGTGGACAGGAGGCTGGCGCCCCCCCAGATGGTGGCCATCCTCCAGGGTGTGACACGAACATTGCTGTACTGTCTGGCGAACTGCAGCACTTGCCGATGTAAGTAATTCGAGCGCTTTCCCCCGGGGAGAGAAGAAGGGACATTCAGCGGCCCAGAACATGGGCAGACGTGCCCCTCACCCCCCTGTCTCCCTTCCCCTTTAGGTGACACGGCTTCTGAACAACGCGGACTTGGCCAAGGAACTGGTTCCAGCTGGGAGTGTCCCTTCTATAGTGGCTTTCAAAACCTTGTTATTTTTTAAAAATTTCCTTCAGTTCCTTGAAATGCAGACTCCCAGGCCCCACCTCTGAGCTAAGGGCTCACGAGGCGTGGGCTGGTGCCCAGGACTCTGCATTTTTAAAGACTGACGCATGCAGTCTGAGGATGAGCAGCTAGGAAGTGTGACTGTGTCTCAACCTGGTGAGTATTTCGAGGGGCGGGATTCCTCCACCGGCCCCTCTCTCACAGGCCTGCTGGGATCAACCATTCCCTTATGCCTTCTTTTTTATTTATTTATTTATTTATTTATTTATTTAACACCCTTATGCCTTCTTGACGAAGGGGTCAGCAGACCAACAAAAACCTCCCCGCCAAGACAGTGCAGGGGTCAGAAAGCCTGCTGCGGGGTTTTGTAAATAAAGTTTTATTGGAACACAGCCACACAGACACGTGCATTTCTCAGGGCTGCTTTGCCACTCCAATGAAGAGCGGAGTCCCTGTGGCAGGAGCATATGCCTGCAGAGCCTAAAATATTTACCACCTGGCCCTTCATGGGAAACATGTGCCCACCTCTGGGATGGCCAGCCTCCCAAACTGGCCGGAAGTGCACGGGCCAGTGGGGCAGTGAGGAAAAGTTTTACGGAGAAAGTCTAAAGTCACAGCTGGGAACTTTGAAACTAACACGCAAACGCGCGCGCACACACACGTGCTTACATGCATGCATGTACACACACACACACACACACACACACACACACAGACTCCTGGAGGGGCTCCGAGGAGAAGCCCCTGATCAACCCACAAGCCTTGCCTGAAAGGGCGGCCGGCTTGGAGAGGAGCCGACAGACTGGCGGAGAAAGCCAGCAAGTGACAACCGGGGGCGTGGGGCGGGCGGGGGTCCTCACCTTGTCCACGTGGATGTAGTAGAAGTGGTCTTTGTGGTAAATGGCCTTGAACATGCGCTGCAGCTGTCGAGAGGCGCGGCCGTGGACCACCAGCACGAAGGCGATTCGGACCGGGTTGGTGAGCATATATTCCACCGAGTCCTCGTCCCACTGCACGTTCTTGTTGGCTTTGCCTGGGGGGAGACCCGAGAGACCACAGGGTGGGGTGAGCATCCCAGGTTCTTTGCAGGGGGGGGGAGGATGGGGAGCTTCTCCGATGCTTCATCTTGGGGACTATCTGAAGGGCATGGTCATGGTCAGATGGGGCCCTAAAACCTCAGGCAGCCTAAGCAAGCTTGTCCTGGACCCTTACGCTGTCCTGGTGCATGCGTTGGGGGGCTCTGAGGTGCTCTGAGGTTCCCACCTCCAAGGAGCTCTAAAAGCTGATGGAGACATAAAGACTTGTATTAAACCATCAAACAAGGCAGGAGGAAATGAGAGGTATCTCTGAAGGGGAAGGAGCAGTTAATTCTGAGCTAGGAAACAGAAGACACAGGAACAGGTTTTGCCTGCCCAGATTCCACTTTCCCTTCTCCTTGGAACAGCATCTTTTTTGGTAAACACTGTGGAAAGAACAGGTAAGATGACACCTGCACTCTTATTTTTAAGTTCACAGTACAGTACTGTTGATGAGAAGCATGAGGTCGTACAGAAGATCTCTAGAGCTTACTCATCTGGCACAATGAAACCGTTATCATGCAGTATTTTGGAGGACATCATCCCCTCCTCTGTTTTCAGTCTATGGATGGGGAGGGTCTCCCTCCATTATCAGTGACAGGGAAGGTCCCAGAGCTCAAGGCCTGGCCAGTTTGAATACAGCATCTCCCTAGCAACAGACTGTATGGTTCAGAGGGGGATGAGTGACCTACCCAAGCTAATTAGCCCAGAACACAGAATTCTAGGCTTTTGTTGGAACAACTAGATTAGAGAGGTTCCCTTTCTGGTATACACAAAACTGGAAGATTCTAAGAGCCATTTTAACCCCACATGGAGAAAGATCACCTGAGAGGAAGAGAACACAGAGGAAGCAATGCCAAGTGACGGGACCCTAACAGCACTATGTGACTTACTCCATCAGCCCAGCTGGACTTCAGCCACCACATAGCGCAGTTTTCTTTGAACACCCAGATCCTGTATCAGACCCACCTGCATCCCCCTGATTCCAGAGGTCTTTTATTCTAGAAGTAGCCTTAAAGGCTCCTTTTCTCCTACTTGCCCTTGCCAACACTCCCAGGGCAGGGTTTCAAGGGGGTACAGAGCTTATCAATGGCTTAGTTTATTACAGTTTTGACGAGAGCTCTCCTGCCTCTCTTCAGCCTGATTTCCTTTGGGTCAAACCTGGTTTCTTCTGGGTTCTAGGTTTATGAGACCCAGAATGTTGTCAGGGTCATAGCTGCAGGTGTCAACTTGGGGTGTCAACTTGGAAAACAGAGAACTGGGAGTGTTTAGTCTAGAGGTCAGGAGATCAGGAGCCTGTCAGTGTCACTGGAAAGCTGAATGGCTGTAAATGAACAAGGCTCCTTCTAGGCTGTTCCAGAGGACAGGATGAAACTAATATGGCTAATGTCCAAATCACAAGGCACAGCCTCTGTGGCCTGCGTGCTCTGGCTCGGGAAGGCCTCTGTACCCCGACTGCCCTACTCTCCACCCTGGACCTGGCCTTCTTTCTTTCCCTTGAGCAAGTCTGCTTCTGTCTCAGTACCTTCTCCCTGGCTCTTCTAGCTCCCTAGATCTTTGCATGGCTGCATCTTCCCGTCATCAGTTCACAGCTCAACAAAAGACCACCTGCCACCATCAGCCACATCACTCTCTTCTACCTCACCTTAGCTCGACTTTCTGCATGGCATTTAACACCATCTGAAACCGTGTACCTGCTCACTTGTTAACTGTTTGAGCACCCCACTGGAATATCAGCTCCATGAGAAGAGGGGCTGTCTCAGCCTTCTTTGTCATCAAACACACAAGGCTGTAACAGTATCTGGCACACCTCTGGTTCTTGATGAAGAAAGAAGTTATAGGAGGGGTACATTCTGGTTTGGTACCGTAACAATCACAATGCATCTTACTGAGCACTGACCAGCCCTTGCCGTCCATCATTTCACTCAATCCTCTCACCAGTCCTGTGGGAGAGTGCTATTAGTCCCATTTTGCTAATGAGGAAAACATAGCCTGGAGAGGCCAAGGGATTTGTTTGTTCAAGGTCACACTGCTGTAACTGATTCAGCTGTGATTCAAACCCAGGTCTGTTTCCAGAGCCAATCCCCTGAAACGCTAACACACACTACATTACCATGCCTAGACTTTGGAAAAGTTGATAATAATTCTGCTTGTTAATGAAATACCCTGTGAATTCGCCATTGCAGGGAGATAGGCAATGCATTCGAGGGCTATCACAGGTATTGCACAGAGGGTTCCTCTACCATGTGGGAGGCTGACTCTAGGTGGCCAAGAAGATCACATCTTTTCATCCATCCGTCCATCCAAATCCAACCACCTATCCATTGGAATCCAACCAGCCATCCATCCATATCCAACCACCCAACCAGCAAACCATTCAGCTACCCATCCAGCACAGCATTCAATGGCTTATCATCCGGAAAACCAACCATCCATTCATCCATTCCACCCATCCACTCATCATCTTTAAAACCATCCATCTATCTGCTTACCCATCATCCTCAAAGCAAATCATCCATGCCCCCACTCTTCCGACCATCTATCAACTCATCGATCCATGCTATATTAACTTAGCCTATACTACACGCCAAGTACCGTGCAAGGTACTAGAAAAAGAAAATTTGGGGGAAAAAAAAAATCCTTTCCTTTGAGGAGCTCTCAGCCAACTAAGGAAAAACAGAAGACAATGATCAATTGTTTTAGGACCAAAGCGTGTTCAGGTTGCCCTTGGAGGGCGATAAAGAAGCGAGCAATCTGCCTGCAGGGACAGAGGCGATCTCAGCAAGTTTAGCCCAAAGCTCCTGAGCCCCTCTCTTTAAGTGCTCCAGACGGATCCCAGCATCTTTAGGCTCCTTGGCTGTTCAATCAGTAGCTGCAAACCTGGGGTAATTATCATCTTGGCTCGGGGTGAGGACAGCCTGGGCAGAACCAGATAGGCTTATCCTCACCGCCCTCTCCTCTTCTCTCCAAACCAATCACAAATACACTGGGCTTTCTTGGTGACTATATGAGAGGGGCACGCCTGGGGTAATCATGTCCCTTTAAATACTCCTGCAACTTTATCTATCCATCCTTCCGTCCTTCCTTCCATCCATCCATCCATCCACCCAGCCAACCACCTACTGACCCACTCACCCCAACCTGCATCCTTAAAACCTCCCACATGCCAGCCCTGGACAAAGGCTGGAGTACAAAGTCATGCAGGATGGGAGCCTGTTTTCACAAGTGGATCATGAACAGACTACGGAACGCGAGAATCTAAAGTAAAAGATAATAAGGTATAAGAAAAGCTTATTTCTCTCCTTCCCATGACTGTAGCTCAAAGGCAGCACACAGATCTTTACCATGCTGGCAGCGGCCTCTCCTTGCCACCTCTGGAAACTCTTTATCAGACAAAAGAGAATTGTTTAAAAACAACGGGTACTTAGTGCCACCTTTTTGCATCTGGACGTCACTGGGTGATTTTTCAAAGGCCTAAATTAAACGTGGCCCATGACACTGTATCTTACAGGAAGTTCACTCTGGAGAGGCTCCTGCTGGCCCTCAGGTAACACTGCTCATCCCTGCCCAAGGTCTCGGGGTAACAATGACCTGGGGTTCTTAGTGACTGAGGCTGATGGGGCCTTTGGGGTCAGCCGTGGATGTCTGTTGCCAGGTTGCTGAATGAATGACTGGATGAAGGAATGCCTTCTGGCTGCTCTGGTCCAGAGGAGCTGACGTCATCTGAGGGCCTGCCGCGCACCAGCATCGTGCTGTGCGGCAGGTGCGGAGCTGGAATTTAGCTTTGGGAGGGATGCACTGTAAGGCTCCAAGGCTCAGAGAGGTCCCCATGTTTCCCCAGGGTCGCACAAGGAATGAGGAGAGAAGCAAGGAGTGGAAGCCCAAATCCAGGCCAGCTACCTCCATCTGCCCTCCTGGGAATCAGAGAGCAGGGAGATGGGGAAGGCTGGCGTGTAGACTGTAGGGTGCTGTGTGCTGAGGTGGAAAGAAACCTTTTGTAACTTTCTTAAAAAAAAAAAAAAGATTTTATTTATTTGACAGGGAGAACATAAGCAGCGGGGCGAGGAAAGGCAAACGGAGAAGCAGGCTCCCTGCTGAGCAGGGACCCTGAGATCACGGCCTGAGCTGAAGGCAGATGCTTAACCAACTGAGCCACCCAGGTGCCCCCTTTTGTAACTTTCTTTAAGGTTTTAGAATGAAGAGCAGATTCACAGACAGACACAGACGTGGATGTTTTCCTTCTGAAGAAAGAAGCTGAGCACCAGGAAATCAGGCGCTATCATTCCAGCAACTGAGCCTCCAGACTGAAAGCCGTCCCTGGGTCAGACAGCTGGTCTGGGGAGTAGCAAAGAGAAGAGAGAACAAAAACCCAGAGCTCTTCTGGAGTACAGCTATTTTGAGGATAAGGGTGGGTGGGAAAGAACCAAAATACCTGAAGAAAAGAGACTCACACGGAGGGAGGAATGAGGGAGAGGGGCAGAAAGGGACAGACAGAAATAGAGACAGAGACAGACACAGAGAGGGAACGGGGTTGCAGAGAGGCCACGCTCACACCTTGAGAAAAACAGAGGGAGACCCAAGGCAGCAGGACCTCCCCCTGACTCCCACCCATGGAGAGAGAACCGTATAGAGAGACCTACCCAGAAACACTGAGAAAGACAGAGACACACACACACAGGTACAAATAGAGACAAATGCAACTGATCAGATGCTTGTATAGAGGCAGGGAGAAAACGAGGAAAGGGGGGAGCCACGGTGGAAAAGTCGGATCCACTCAACCCCGAACCACGGGAGCCATACTTAAAAACAAAGGCAAACGAAACCCCCAGAAGGTCAAAAGGCAATAATGCCTCCAGGCCTTTTCTATGGCCCTTGGTCCTTCACAAACCTGCTGTCCCCTCACCTAGGTTCTGCGCCGTCATGAGCCCAGTGATGGAGCTGGCAGGACACCCTTAGG